AAAATGTTTTCATTTGGATGTTGATTTACTAATAAAGTGAGATTGGGTTTATGTTGGTGAGGAGAACTCAGATGCGGCAGCAGGTCAAGGTTAAAACATCACACACTCAGTCACTTTACACAAAAATACTCATCCAGAAAGGATGTAACACAAACCAATTAAGTATCTTTCTATCAGCTGGGGGAACAGTCTCTGCCTTTGTGGTCAAAGGTCAACCTGGAGCACAGGAGCAGCCATGTTGGAAAACAGACGCTATGGTTTGGTGAATAATTAAGATCAACAGTAACCAGTAAAGAAAAGTTCATCTTCAACGGAAACAGCTGACAATAGGTGGATTATACTGATTCAAGGCTAAAACAGATATGAGTTCTTCTGAGGTAGGTCAGGGGTGATTTCTGTAATAAATGATAAATGTGTGAATTAGACCTTAAATTGTTTCTAAATTTGTCTCCTTATCTTTAGAATGATGTGCTTTTATCCGTGGCTTTCCTAACAGTTTAGCGTGTCACTCAGACACGTGAAGTCCAACGTTCCTGGTTGAACCCAAACTTTTTCAACTTCTTTTTAAGTCCATTTAGAGCTTTGATGCTTCAGCTTTTTCATTAATTACAGTGAAGATATTCTATCAGGAAACGTTTTTTTCAGTTTTACTTGATTTGAGGAAATCATCTAAAGGCTTCAAAGTTTAGGTTTCACAGCCTAGCGTTGGGTTCTGACCCAGACGTGTGACTGCTTTAAAACAGAGATTTGTTCCCTTTCCTCCTGAAGAGCTCTGAGGGATGAGGGGTGTACGAGGTGGAAAGAAATGGGCCATTCCCATCTGTACCGGGTCGGCCCGGGCCGGGTAGCGTAGGTTGTGTACATATCTGGGTGGCCTGGTATTTTTCCGGGCCAACCAAGGCTCATTCTCAGCCCTCTTCTCGAGGGGGTCTGCTTCAGGCCGACCAGGGCCAACACACCCACTGCTGACAGCAAATTCACACCTTCCATTAGAGCAAGCCTCTGATTGGTGGGTAGAATCAGCCCACATGGGCTTAAGGCAAGGATGTGTGGAATCAACCGGGCCAGGCTGGGGCCGACCGGGGCTACCCGGCCCGGGCCGACCCGGTACAGATGGGAATGGCCCATTAGACTGAAAGAGTCCTTCTTCCCTGGCATCTAGATGTTATTCCAGCTCATGGCTCATGAGTGTGTTTTCATGCTGCAGCAGAAGTGAGGTCAGAGTTGGCCTGTTAGTGCAGGCAGAGAGAAAATGGTGAACAGGTCAAGTGGAGAGGGAGGAGAGGAAGTGTGAGAGCAGGAAAGACATCAGACAAACAAACGGCTGCTCTTTAACATCTGAACACACACACACATATGCACACGCACGCACGCACACACACACACACACACACACACACACACACACACACACACACACACACACATGAGGAGGTTGTTTCTCCAACAGTGTCTCACCGTGGAGGAAAGCCAGCACTGCACTCTGCTTCACCTCTGGAAACTGATGAAATGCTCCCACTTGAGCCAAAACTCATCTTCCACCGCAGCACAGAGCAAATCTGGGGCTGTCAGCAGGGCTGGGTGTTATTTTAAAAACAACTTTAGCTCACTGGAATCATTTTCTGGCCCCTTTAATGTCCATTTTGGTCAGCTTCCTGAAAAACAAAAGGAAAAATCATATTGAGGAAGTACTGGTTTTGCTACTTTCAGGAAATCCTCAAGACTTTATTCACTGAGACAAAGTGAGAGGAGACGAACCGAGAACGGCTTCAACTACATGCAGGGTCTCAACATGAAACCACAACACCTACGTCAGCTTTCTGTCATTCGGACCTGGATCGTTTGGCTTCTCTGCTCTTCTGTGTGTTCAGGAATGAGTGAACCAAGTAAGTTTTGTCCTGAGGAGTTAGCTGGATCACTTATGGGGTCGATGCTTCTGAATCCAGCTGAAGGAGTCTTTATAATGTGTCACTTTTTTCTATCGTGTATTATTTTCAGATTGTCTCCTAGTTGAATCATTTATTTCTTTATTGACTCCAGAACATAACAAAAGTCAGAATTTTTATTTTCAACTTTTTGTTACAGAAAAACAGCTTTTGGGGGGGGGGGGGGGGGGGGGGGGGGAATTTTCTAAAAACATGTATTGCTTAAATATGCAGGCTGAATGATTTTCAACAACTAAAAAGCTAATCAGTCCTCCATCACATCCCTTCACAGCTCTTAGATTGAAGAGAGGAGTGTTTGTGGCCTTCTCGGGAGAAGATCTCAGCATCAACGTCACCCTGACAAGTCCGGTTAATCAGACTGAAGATGTCCTACTTTGCGTCGATCCTTCTGGCAACGAGCTGCATCGCTTTGACATCCCAAAAGTAGGAAGTGTTCCTCTGATAGCCAATCGGACAATCCCTCTGAAGAACCTGAGCAGCTCAGGAACATACCACTGCTCCTTTAAAGGGGCCAGGGTGACCTGGTTTGTACGAGTCAGAGGTAAGATCTAAAAGTTCACAGTAAACAGAAGTTACTTCAACTTTTATGTTGCTTTCTGCTCACATTGACCTTGTTCTTGTACTTAAAAAGCCCAAACTGAGTGCTTTACAGAAAACAATAAAACAAAGAGAATAAATCAAAGTTACGGATCCAGATTTACTGAGGATCGAGCCTTCCTCAATGAAAAAATCTTAAACTTGGATTTAAAAAAGGCCTGGATCAGCGATTGACTGTGAACCCAGAGGTTTAGGTTCAGCTGCTTCCGGTTACCCCAGTGTTTGTGTCTAGTCCTCGGATTATTCAAAAGGAAGTGGGATCTGTGTGGATCTTACGGAGCTGCCACACACGCAAAATAAAACTAAGGCAACATCATGTTAAACCTTGTTTTTATTTTATTTTCAAATACTATTATGTCACATTCTTACACTGTGTATTTACCACATCTGTGCAATAATATTAAACTGTAAAACCAACATGATATTTTTAAAACGTGAAATGCTAGCTGTTACCATTCACTTATATTGTTTATGCTAAGCTAAAGCAAACAGCATACTACCAGATGAGGAGAACGACTGAGCTGGTTACAAAACGCTTCTTCACGTCTAACACAGGGTGGAAAATCCCTTTCAGTTGCTCAACAGGTGGGAAATATCTTTGATCTTAAATTCTTTCCCACAGAGGAATGCTCTCCCGGCAGATGTGGAATCCATCACGGAGCCTCTGCAGCTCCGACCAATAATGAGTGATGTGTGTTTTCCAGCTAAAGGCTACAGGGAGCCCGTGATGCATGACTACACGGAGTTCATCACTATGGCCGTCTTCACCGGTGTGCTGCTGCTATTCAGCATCTTCGGCTCCATTTACGTCTGCAGAGGACATTGGGTAAGATGTGAGCCGTTGCATGATGTCGCAAGTTAAACATGTCGTTCTGTGTTCTGTGCTGCAAGGTTTTGAAAGATGCGGCGTGTTAATCTTGATTTGGGTTCAAACTAGAGCTCAGAGGTCCCAATCCCATTTCAAAGCTCTGGTTTCAACCACTAAAGATTTTATTGACTATTTAGAGTTATCCAATCTGCTATGCACCACAAGATTTTTATGAAAAGAGAGGGTTTTTTTTTTCAGATTTAGGCAAGAAGGGTCATGCTTCACAGCACTCATACTTCTTCCTTTTCTTTGGTTTGTAATTTTCAGAAGGAGACTTTCCCTGAAAGTGGCGACAGTGACAGAAACAGAAAACACACCACAAACACAGAACCAGAGGAAGACCCCATGGACATGACGACAGCTCAGTCCACTTCTTTCTATGCTGTGAGAGTTTGGTTAATTAGAATGCTGCCATTTTTGTCCTCCTTCTTCCCTGATCCTATCAATTTAGTTTTAACATTTCTTGGGCGTGTGAATCTTTTCAGAGTCTAGAACCTCGGCCCAGATCCATCTACGAAGTGCTGGACCGCTCAGCTGTCAGAACAGAGTCAAACAAAAAGAAGCCCAAATCCCTGAAGAAAACGGTCGGTAAATTCTGGGTGTCTTAACAACTAATGTGATATCAAGGTAAAAGGTTTGATTGTTCCTCTGGTTTTATTTTACTTCCCAGGCAGAAGATGCTGCAGCACATCAGGATGGAGGCATCGAGTGTGTTTATGAGAACTTTCAGGACTAAAATAAATTCGTTGTAAGTTGAATGTTCTGTTAAGACTGATACTGAATAAACAAATATGCTGTGCAAGACAGTAACATAACTTTTTGTCAATAAATATGTTGAATTCAAGGTCCATCCATCCATCCATCCAGTTTCATCCGCTTATCCGGAGTCGGGTCACGGGGGCAGTAGCCTAAGGCAAGAGGCCCAGACTTCCCTCTCCCCAGCCACTTGGGCCAGCGCCTCCGGGGGAATCCCATGGCGTTCCCTGGCCAGGTGAGAAACATAGTCCCTCCACCGTGTCCTGGGTCTACCTTTAGGCCTCCTCCCAGTTGGACGTGCCTGGAAAACCTCACCAGGGAGGAGTCCTGGAGGCATCCTGACCAGATGCCTGAGCCACTTCAACTGGCTCCTCTCGATGTGGAGGAGCAGCGGGTCTACTCCGCGCCCCTCCCGAATGACCGAGCTTCTCACCCTATCTCTAAGGGAGAGCCCAGCCACTCTTTGGAGAAAACTCATTTTGGCCGCTTGTATCCGCGATCTCGTTCTGTCGGTCACTACCCAAAGCTCATGACCATAGGTGAGGGTAGGAACGTAGATCGACCGGTAAATTGAGAGCTTCGTCTTCTGACTCAGCTCTCTCTTCACCACGACAGACCGGTACAACGCCCGCATCACTGCAGATGCAGCACCAATCCGCCTGTCGATCTCACGCTCCAGTTTTCCCTCACTCGTGAATAAGGCCCCGAGATACTTACACTTCTCCACTTGGGGCAGGACCTCATCCCTGACCCGGAGAAGGCGTTCTACCCTTTTCCAAATCAAGACCATGGTCTCAGATTTAGAGGAGCTGATTCTCATCCCAGCTGCTTCACACTCGGCTGCGAGTCGCTCCAGCGAAAGCTGAAGATCGCGTTCTGATGAAGCCAACAGGACCACATCATCTGCAAAAAGCAGAGACCTGATCCTCAGGCCACCAGAACGGATGCCCTCCACACCTTGGCTGCGCCTAGAAATCCTGTCCATAAAGGTTATGAACAGAATTGGTGACAAAGGGTAGCCTTGGCGGGGTCCAACTCTCACTGGGAACGAGCCCGACTTACTGCCGGCAATGCGGACCAAGCTCTGACACCGGTCATACAAGGACCTAACAGCCTGTATCAGAGGGCCTGGTACTCCATACTCCTGGAATACCCTCGACAGGGCCCCCCGAGGGACACGGTCAAACGTCTTCTCCAAATCCACAAAACACATGTAGACTAGTTGGGCAAATTCCCACGCACCCTCCAGGATCCCCCTAAGGGTATAGAGCTGGTCCAGTGTTCCACGGCCAGTACGAAAACCACAATGGTCCTCCTGAATCTGAGGTTCAACAATCCGACGGACCCTCCTCTCCAGAACCCCTGAATAGACCTTACCAGGAAGGTTCAGGAGTGTGATCCCCCTGTAGTTGGAACACACCCTGCGGCCCCCCTTTTTAAATAAGGGGACCACCACCCTGGTCTGCCAGTCCAGTGGGACTGCCCCCGATGTGTACGCGATATTGTCAGCAACCACAGCCCCACAACATCCAGAGCCTTAAGGTACTCCGGGCTGATCTCATCCACCCCTGGAGCCTTGCAACAGAGGAGCTTTTTAACCACCTCAGTGACCTCAGCACCAAAGATTTAAGAGGCCAACCCAAAGTCCCCAGATTCTGCTTCCTCACTGGAAGACGTGTCGGTGGGATTGAGGAGGTCTTCGAAGTATTCTGCCCACCGATCCACAACGTCCTGAGTAGAGGTCAGCAGCACACCGTCCCCACTATAGATAGTGTTGGTAGTGCACTGCTTCCCCCGAGGCGCCGTATGTTGGACCAGAATCTCCTCAAAGCTGTACGGAAGTCTTGCTCCATGGTCTCACCGAACTCCTCCCATGCCCGGGTTTTTGCCTTGGCAACCACCCGAGCCGTGTTCTGCTTGGACTGCAGGTACCTGTCAGCTGTCTCTGGAGTCCCACAGGCCAAAAAGACCTGATAGGACTCTTTCTTCAGCTTTACAGCATCCCTAACCGCCGGTGTCTGCCAGCGGGTTCGGGGGTTGCCACCGCGACAAGCACTGACAATCCTGCGACCACAGGTCCGGTCGGCTGCCTCAACAGTGGAGGCACGGAACAGGGTCCATTCAGACTCAATGTCCCCCACCTCCTCCGGAACATTTTGGAAGTTCTGTCGGAGGTGGGAATTGAAGCTTCTTCTGCAGACCCTCACGATACGTTTGGGCGTGCCTGGTCTGACCGGCATCCTCCCCCACCATCTGAGCGAACTCACCACCAGGTAGTGGTCAGTTGACAGCTCCGCCCCTCTCTTCACCCAAGTGTCCAAGACATGCGGCCACAGGTCAGACGAAACAACAACAAAGCCGATCATCAAGCTGTGGCCTAAGGTATCCTGGTGCCAAGAATACATATGGACACCTTTATGTCTGAACATGGTGTTCATTATGGACAATCCATGACAAGCACAGAAGTCCAATAACAAAACATAACTCGAATTCAGATCGGGGGGCCGTTCCTCCCAACCACACCTCTCCAGGTCTCACTGTCGTTGACCACGTGAGCGTTAAAGTCCCCCAGCAGAATGAGGGAATAAATACAAATATCAAAATGCAAAGGGTAAAATAAGTATGCAAATGAAATATGTTTCTGTTACACTGATGAACATGAGTCCACTGGACAAAATAAATACTATGAAATCATCATAGTCATGTGTAGTTTTTATTTTTTTTTATCCTGTGTAATGCTACTAGATCTTATTTGCTGCGATGTGCTTTTTCTGCTTAGTAACCTTTAAATTTTCAATGTAACCACAAACAACAGTTGTATAATAACTGTAAACAAGACCATAAAAAATAATAGTATCAAATTCGTACAGATAAAAAGTAAATAACTTTAAACAGCTTTCCTGTAATATGCTCCTTTTTGCCCTGTCGCTTTTAACGTGCCCTTATTTGGACATTTCCTTTCCGGGATCTGGCCGTGTCAGTGAGCGTAAACGCCAGCCAATGAAATAACGACCTCTGGTACTGACGAGCCAATCCCATCGCTTCTATCAGTTGCGCTTCCTGCTTTGGTTTGTTTTGGTGATTATGGCTGCTGAAGCTGATTTTCTGGCGAGATACCGAGCTGTGTCGAATAAACTAAAAAAGTTAGTAAGACTCTCCTTTACATTCTTTCAAATTAAGTTGAAAAACAAATGCACAACGGAGTCAGCATAACGGTGCCTATGTTTACTTTTCCGGTACAGCTAGTGCTATGAGGCTAAGCTAGCGGTAGCTAACTCCGGTTTGCGTTTCTCGTTGCTGCAAAATGTTATATATTTCACCGATGTGTGATCATTTTGTAGCATACGTGATGAGGCAAATTTCGTTGTAGTCCTTGCTACTAAAAACATAATCTGTAGCGGCTGCGGCAACACATATTAGCTGTTAGCTTGTAAAAACCACATACTTAGAAAAGAAAACAAGGGACAAGCCTGATTTATGTGTTACATTAGACTGTGTTGTTGTTTACAGATGAGCAATTATATAAATAATGATACAGTGTACAATGCGTTGTTAACATTTCTGGCGTTCACACTTGCCTTTTTCTCACATCCCAATCATTTATGTACATGGCATGTTCATTTATTTTAACTTATATTATTTTATCGTTGCAGACGTTTTCTCCGTAAGCCAAATGTAGCAGAGGCGAGTGAGCAGTTTGGTGAGTATCAGTGATAAAAAAAAATCAGAACTAACTGCTGTTTAGATCAAAATAGATGTTTCTTTAAATGTGTCTTTGAAATCCACTTACAAAATAACAAGAATCGGGACATAAATATTGTAATAGTCTGTTGTGTTTTATATTGGTATAATTTACAATCTCCTGGCCTCATTTGATTAAAAAAAACACATTTTTCTTGTTGCCTTTAAGTGTGAAACAGAATAAATCTAAATACTGAAGTAGGTCTGTTATAGAAAGACTATAATTTAACAACTATTAAAACCTAGAAATCTAAATGTAACCAATTACTTCAGTCCACTAATCTGTAATTGAATCACATGGAGCCTTTTCTAAAATATCTGAGAATAAATATGATTCAAACTAGGGGTGGGACTTTTAACGTGTTAATTATGATTAATTCATTAGAAAAAAATGATGAGCTTAATCGCAGCTTGCATTTCAAGCAAGACGGAACCTTTGTCATTGCATGATATCCTCGTAGATGGAAATTCATACAACACTGATGCACAGTGCTCTTTTAATGGCTACTAAAATGGAATAAAAACGGATAGAAATTGCCTTGCTTGGACTGACGCAGTATTTGGAAAACACGTCAGCCTCTTCTCTTGACTTGTTAAAAAAATAAACTCCCTGACAACTACAGAGTCCGTGTCGCGGACATTTTTCAGAGATCGTCTTAGGTCTCTGGTGGCACCGGAAACTTTACAAAAGTCGAGGTAAGCTATATTTGTGACATTTATTTAACATTTGTGCAGCGCTGAAAGCACCAAACAGAATAATTTTTTGCCCTTAACAGTAGTTTATGAAAGTAGTCAGACAAACGAGAGGCACCTGCTGCAGCTGGGAAAATGCTTTGTGGTCTCACTACTCCGTAAACAGTCACAAACAACGTGTCTTAAAGCAAGAGAAACACTCTAAAATCTTTCTGATAATTGTCTAAACAATTCTGTCAGTTTGTTATATGTTTCTGAGACAAGTCACTGTCTAAACATCGCATGTGTTACTATCATTAAGCAGCGAGGTGTTTTGAAGTGGTCATCAGCTGATCGGGAGATAAAGGGGTGGATGTTTAAGCACACTGGGGCAGCGAGGAACGAGAAAGGTGTGATCAGGCTGGAGATCACACCAGATTCGCCGCTGCAGGGGCGAATCTGCATGTCTGCAGCCATCCCCTTCTTGACGTGACAGCAAGACTTCCCATGTAAGGAAGGTCTGCTCACCTGTTCATCGCTCAGCCGTCAGATCATAAATTCCTCGTCATGATCTTCCCATCATCCTCCAGTCATCCAATTGGAATCAGTTAGTGTCCCTGATCATTCTCAGACTATGTCACACCTGCTGTGGTGTTAAAAATTAGTACATCTGAATCCTAGATCATATTTGTGCCTGTTCTACTGTCATTTTTACGGAATTTTTATATATATATATATATATATATATAATACAACAACATACATGTTTTTACTACATTATGAGTAATAGAAATTATGAGTAATAGAAATGTTAATAAAAACACCCAATTATACAAACAAGTGAAACTGGAAAAATTAGAATCTGGTGCAAAGTCCATTTATTTCAGTAATTCAACTAGTCAGAGAGACTATTTAAAGGCTCAGGAACCCTTTGCAGGTGTTTTGTATTTGCAGTTATACATTTTAGTTGATTTGGGTTTTGTTTCATATCACACAGTGACATATGAATAATTAAAATGCATTTTTTATTCAAAGAGCATGAGTTTACAGCAATAATAACCATATCTAATGTTTTATTCTCTGCCTCATTATTTTTAATTGGAAAAAAATGCTTTGAGGGCACTTTTTTCTGAACGATTAAAATGTGATTAATTAAGATTAATTAATTACAAAGCCTCTAATTAATTTGATTAATTTTTATGTCGAGTCCCACCTCTAATTCAAATAAATAAGTAGGCAAATGGTTAAATAACGAGGGAGATGGAACTTATTTTTAGTTTTTTATCACGGTATTTCCTCTCAAGATGTTTCTCAGCGCTCCCTCCTGGGCTTTAAAACAGCTCCATCAGGAGTTTGAAATGGCTCCAGTAGAGCAGCTCGCTTAACGTGTGCACATAGTCTGGCAGGAAGGTAAAATAACACGAAGGAAGCAACACTTTATCATGGTTGTCAATCTCTGTGTTGGCATTCTGTCAGAATGTTGTGGTGCTGTGTGGAAACTTCAGGAGAGACCAATTTTCTCCTTGGGTACATCTCATTTTTAATTACAGCAACAGTGGAAGCTCAAGATGGCACAACTCAAACTCCTAATGACAGGTGTAACAGCTGAAAAGCTTCCACTTGAAATGGCAGTCAGCAGTAAATCTGGGCTCGTTGTTACTGAAGGCTAACAGAAGTCGCACAGCTGACAGCAAACAACTTGTATGTGTGCAAATACCATTGTGAAGATTTTACTTGAAACATTTTGTTCTGTAGAGTTTTGGACGCAGATGTTCCCCCTAAATTGATGCGAGATGGTTAGTTTTTCATGTACGCCATGTCAGGTGATGTATCTGTGACTGACATCAGCTGGAGAAGTGAGACTATAAACAGACCTTACAGGCACACATCACCTTAGAGCAGACGGCAGCGCTGCAGCTCGCCGCAGGTCTTCAGAGCATCCCCCTGCAGCCTCCAGGTGCCTCTCGTCTCCTCAGAGTGCAAACGCATGCTCTTTGTTTACATTTAACATCACACCTTACCCCGGCTTTCCACAGGAGCCGTCAGCAGCACGTCATAGCTGCTGATAGGAACCGCTGTGGTCAACAGAACCTTTTCCACCGGAGCCGTCAGCAGCGCGAGTCGGCCGCGTCTCAGGAGCAGCATGTCGCGGCCTTTACGCGCCGGTTCTATTTTCTACGCGCGACGCCTCTGAAACGGGTCAAGTTCGACATTTTTGGGGAAGGAAAGACAGGAAATCGGATGCGGAAATGGAGAGAAGCTCCCGAGATTTTCAGAATAAAGAAACGTACTGCCTTCCGGTTGCTTTACTTTTAAAATAAGTTACTAACTGTGCGTTCCCGTGAGAAGTTATCACCTAGCTAGCGGTCTCCTTTGTTTTTCAGATCCGTATTGGCGATTATAAAACGGACAGAACATAAAACACAAACCTTTTGGAGCCATGTTGTAGTTTTCTCCTGCTTGTTGTTGTGTTTACTGACGAAGTCACTCGTGTGACTTCGTGCTCGGTCGGCGACAGCTGCTCCCCTGCTGCTTCGCGTCTCGTGGGAAGGGCCGAGCAGCAGCTTACGCGAGCAAGACGTGCTGCTGCAGTAACGTGCTGCTGACGGCTCCGGTGGAAAGCCGGGGTTAGATCATCTATTCCTATTTCTACACCTGTAAAAATCTCTCACTGATATGCTGAAGATATCATTTTCCATTGACAAAAACAGCTGAGACAGGTGCTCGCTGGTTTGCTCCTGGTTAAAAACAACTTAGTTTCAACCGTTAAACTCCAGGAATCTTCACATCCACTTTAACAATGGAGCTCAGGCTGTTTCTGTCTGTCAGAAATCCTAGAAAACTAGATTCAGACAGATCACAGTCTGGGGACAGACCATCACTCCTTATAGCAGCTCAGCACTGTCTCCTCATTTTAATGATTTTTAGATTGCATTTTATGGCTCGGCTGGACAGCTCTCAAACTTTTAAAACCATTTTTTTTACATGTGACATTTTCAAGTGTATTTACTTTTTGAGCGGGCATCAACATTGCCCGCAAATCTTTTGAAACAGCATTTTCTTGTGAACAATTCTTGGTTGATCTAAAGCAGGGGTGTCAGTTTTGCGGCCCGCGGGCCGGATCAGGCCCGCACACAGTTTAAATCCGGCCTGCGAGATGATTGTGTAAATCTTATTTTCAGACTGACTTTACGATGTAAAGTCTGAAAATAAGCTTTCATTTTTTAATTAAACTGCTGGTGAAAGCTAAAAGATGTCAAGTATCAGGAGTCAGACATGCATGAAACTGATATAGCCATGTGATCTGTGAATCAGTTATTTGAATTACTGAGGAATAGTCTGGGTTTTTTTTTTGTTTTTTTTTTTTGTATTTCACATTTTCAAATACGCTTCAGGTGTTTTATTATTAATATTGATGTTGTGCTTAAACTATTTTAAAAACACTGTCCTCAGGCTCCAGCTTTATTTAATGTTGATCGTATTAAAACAAAGAAAACAATCTAAAGCAGTTTTTAATTTATACACACTTTAATTTTACTGGTCTGGCCCACTTGGGACTAGATTTTCCTCATTGTGGCCCCAGAGCAAAACTGAGTTTGACACCCCTGATCTAAAGCTAGTTCAGCTCGAACGTTGAACCCACTTAACAGAATCTTTTATAGTTGTTGTATGGATGGTAAAAAAAGAAATGCAGAATAATAAATTAAGATGTAAATAATACTGAAGGGATGTGAAAGAACCACAAACATAGCAACAGAATGGCCAAGATTTCAAAAAGTAACACAAAAATTATGTCAGAGAGGCAAAAACAAATTGTAAACTTACGTTTGAGACGTGCAAAATAAAATATAAAGATAAACTCATTTACACGAAAGATTGTAAAGATGGTCAAAATTAGACAGTCGGTTGAAACTGGAACAGAAAAGAGGTACAATGTGATTTTAAACACACGAAACTCAACATAAATCCAGATTGGCTGTGGCCTTTCTGCGTGGAGTTGGCATGTTCTCCATGTGTAGGCGTGCGTTGTCTCCAGGTGCTACAGCTTCATCACATGGACCAAATACATGAATGCCAGGTTAGTTAGAGACTCTAAGTCAGTGGTTCCCAAACTTATTTAGCTGCGCACCCCTTCTATGGCCCGACCATGTCGACGCATCCCCCAGCCCCCACATCAGGGCATGGCTATAAATATATATATATATATATATATATATATATATATATATATATATATATATATATATATATATATATCAGACGTCAAGCTAAACAGACAGGGTTAAAAAAATATGATCAACCTTTTTCCCCATCACTTTCATTTTTTAAATAGTAATCAATAAACATTCGATACCATTACAATTTCCTTTGATTTAATTTAAAATAAATATTTAGAGTGCCCAGGTAGCACATAAACAATGCAATTTAACGGTTTTCTTAAAGTAGGAACGTTTAACCAGAGCTCTCTCCTTCCTTCTGCTCTGCGTAAACCTGAGCTGATCACCTACTTGTGCGTAATCAAATGTCTATAGAGGAAAATATGGAATAGATATAGACATGAGGTTCACTTTTGCCTCAGACCGACTTATTGCTGATTTATGGTGTGGCTGAATCTGCGATCCGCTGCCACGCGGACTGGAATAAGAAATGCTGCAGTAACATGAGTTGTAGTCAGGTTCGGAGTCACTGGCTGGAGCGGACCCGACTTTAATACGTCGTCCCAAAATAGAAGCTAATATCTTAATTTGGCCTTGAATGAAAAATGTTATAAAACCTCAAAAGTTTTTATCACGGAGGAGGCAGCGCTCATTTCTGCCTTCAGTCTGACGGCACGCCGGAGTTGGCTCAGCGTGCGCTTACTGAATCTGTGTGTGTGTGTGTGCGTGTGCGTGTGCGTGTGTGTGTGTGTGTGTGTGTGTGTGTGTGTGTGTGTGTGTGTGTGTGTGTGTGTGTGTGTGTGTGTGTGTGTGTGTGTGTGTGTGTGTGTGTGTGTGTGTGTGTGTGTGTGTGTGTGTGTGTGTGTGTGTGTGTTTGCTTACAGGTCAGCTGGCTAAGGAGCTGAAGCAGCAGGATTGGCTTCAGTATGCTGCCTTCTGTAACCTGGCCATGGCACGGTGAGCGGACGCCTAAACTTTTCTTCATCGTCATCAGAGACACATGTTCTATTATAAAACTGTAGGCTGAAGAGTGGATAAATATTTAGTTTTTAAACAGTCTGCATTTATCTACCAGTTTTACATCTCACTCGTCTATTTTTATTTGGCTCTTCTGCTGGTTTGACTTCTTCGTAGGGAGCTTAAGTCACGCCCATCTACTTCCTGACCATGGGTCCCTGGAAGAATGAAAAAATGAATGCAAGTCATTGGGGCTAAAAACGCTATTTTCTAATTCCGCTTGCTACGTGCCGTGGATTACACACATGATGTCCGTGAATATTAAAGATGCATTTTGATACCAAGACCGTGCTTGTTTTCTAACGGGGGGTTATGTCAGGTTTTGTGTGACAATAAGTCCAGGACTACAGATGCACATCACCAAAGGTGCATCATCGAATCAGACACGGCTGTAAGTTCAGCGATCTCCAGATCAGGGGCGGATTTAGGACTGAAGAAGATCCGGGGCTTAACACACACACGCGCGCACACACACACACGCACGCGCATACGCGCGCGCACACACACGCGTGCACACACACACACGTGACACGCACTAGTCAACATCATATATGTCTTGTACCACATAATTTTTAATCTGAAGCTGCATATTAAGCATATTCAGGGCAGAGTATTGTTCCTGTTAGTGTTTAGTGTGAGATGATAGTAAATATTCCCTTTCTTTCTCCAACAACTTTACCTGATAAGCTAACTTTAGGCAAACCAGCAGCACAACAAATATTTTCAAATAAGACTCACAAACCTGAGTCAACACCAGTCTCATCAAAGCTGGGGTTCTGTCGCCATACTTTTGGTCTAAAAAACGTCCTTATGTTCATCTTCACTCATGCGTTTCAGGCAGAGAGTGTAGAAGAAGCCGGCTGCTGAAGGGCTTCTTCTTCAGTGGTGGAGGCTCAGGCAGGCTGTATACAAACTACTGCCAGCTGCTCCCTCTCTGTTGGACTTTGGTACTGCATGTTACTTCCATGATTTAGATCCGGGGCTTTTCATGAAACATCCGGGGCTTCAGCCCAAGTAGCCGGGCCTAACGCCGCCCCTGCTCCAGATCCTTACTTCAGGAGTAAAGAGCCACCAAAAATCTGGCCATGATGTAAGCAGCAGCTATGCTAGAGGAGAGGAGGTTCTGTGGTGATGTCATAAATGCGACGTGCCGATGTAGTCATGCTAATTACGAACTTTTACAAGCTGATAAATCTCAGAGTATGTGGCTGGTATGATTGAAACACACTTCATTACTTTTCATTTAAATAGAAGCTCTTTTAGCCCCGTTGACTTGCTTTTATTTTTTCGTTCTTCTGAGGATCCATGAGCCGACTGGAAAGGGAGGAGACTAGGCTCCCTATAACGGACACAAAGACGCAGAGCTTTGGCTACATGAGGGCGGACCTTCATTAAACCATCAGTCTTTGACAACAGTCAAACCAGTTCCCATTGGGGGTTTTCTGTATTATATTGCTCTAGAGACAGATTAAAAATTACATTTTTGGATTCATTTTATAATCAAAACACCTTCTGGTGCTGATGTGATTCCAGTCCAGCAGCAGAGTAACCACCGGGTTTTTCATCAAACCGCTTGGAACTGAGATAAGTTGGATGCATGATTTACTAGCTGTCTATTTGTGATGACCCTGATCAGAACCAAACACTCTACAGGTAAACTAACATCATATTAGTAAGAAACAGCTAGCTCATCTCTACAACCAGCCTGTAGCTGAGGGGTGATGCTGGTCTGTAGTTAGCGTAGAGAAACGCCACCTTTTTTCCTTTATTTACATGTTTGTTGTATTCTTGGTCCAACGAGGCCTCGTGTATGTTCCTTTACTAGTTTATTTAAATACAACAAACACTTATGACAAAATCTTTGGCTGTTTGGACCAAAGATCCAGAATACTAAACTTTTTTCTTCATTTGGGTTCTGCCTCTTCAACGGCTGAGTTTCAAGTCTTTGCAGAAAGAGACGGTTGTCTATTTCAGAGCCGTCTAAATATAGACAGCACCCTCTGCTGGAAGCACATATAATGGCAATAAGGCAAACTTTCTCAGCTTCCTCCTTCCTGTGTTAAAGATTATTGACGTTCTTGTCATTTGTTTTGGTGTCAAACAAAGAAAGAGGACGTTTCCTCCCCCATCAGAACCAGGGTGGGTCGTTTAGTTCAGTAATGGATGCAGACATCTTCAGACCTCACTGGAATAAACCAGACGGGTCTCAGAAACCTCTGTTGCACTGATTTATTAGAACCCGCCCCCTGTGGTGCTGCCTTTAGGTGTGAGCAGACTCTCTTTAACGCTCCTGGAGAAGCTCTGGCTCTAACCGATGCTGCGCGGCTCTTCCTCTCATCGGAGAAGGAGATCAGAGCCCTGCAGGCTCCGGGCTTTGACGAACACCTTCAAGCTGCACTCAACTGCTACAGCTTTGCTATCAAGGTAAACCAAGGCTCCCAGCTGTTTGAGGACTTTCTAACATTCATGCTCTGAGAGTTATCCGCTGTCGTCGTCTGATAAGTGAGCAGACGAGCTGTTCTGGACAGAATCTGGGTTACATTCCTGCGTTGTGACTCGATGCGGATGTGAAAATTAATTTCAGGTGTACATCGAGATGAACCAGCCTGTCATGGCAGCCAGTCTGTGTTTGGAAGTTGGCAACGCTCTTAAGGTTAGATCTTAGTTCAAGCGGTCCCGTGTGATTAACGATGCAGATTTTTGTAGTTAGGCATTTGCTCTGCTGCATCGGTCTCGCCTCTACTTCAATAGGAGATGAGCCGACCGGGAGAAGCAATCGTTCACTTTCAGAGGGCTGCAGAGCTACAGACTCAGACTCCCATTGAAGCTTTGCTCTCAATGGGGGAGATGGCCACCTGTAAAATCCTCACCCGTGAGTTCACCTGATCCTCTCATGAGATCCAGCTGCAGGTTTCCTGATTTAGGCGTTTTAACCTCTGCTGTTGTCGCAGGTGACTACGATGGTGCTCTGTCCGTGTTCACGGAGATGCAGCTGATGTGTCAGGAGCGAGGACTGCCGCTCCCAGGCACCTCCACTCCTGTCGGTGAGACTTTCACACATGACAGATGTTTGTAATAAATAAACTAGGGATGCACCGATACTGGTATCGGTGCAGATACCGATACAATACTGGTATCGGTAAAAGTTAACCGATACCAGGAACCGATACCAATGCAGTTGCTTGAAAAGGGCTTCACTGTAACTTGTCATTTCTGTTCACCTAATATTTTAGTTTTGTGATGATTCCTATTCATATATTTTACTTTTTATCTACCTCACAGTCTTTTCTTGTTGAAAGCAGAGAAGAAAATAAAATCTGTATTCCATTTTTTTGTGTGGTAGAAGTATCGGTATTGTAATCGGTATCGGCGAGTATTCAGATCCAAGTAGAGGTATCGTATCTGTTTGGAAAATGTGGTATCGTTGCACCCCTAAAATAAACCCCAATAGGATCACCTCTACGTTTAGGAAAACTGCAAATGCTAGCTTTACGTGAACAGGAAAACCAGTTATTTTGTTGCTGATTTAGCTGGAATCAGTTTGGACCTCCTCTAAATCTGTCACGCACAACTGAAGTTTCAGTTATTATTTTATGTTGTTTTTAGCGTTGTTCCGGTTTCTTTGATTGCCCTTAAACCGAAATCCTTTTTTTTAATATTTGACTTTGGAAAAGGGGCCTTTCTGGACATAGTGGCTAAATGTGAGATATCCCGAGTGCTGCTGCTGATGCTGCTTGAGGTAAGAATATTTAAATCAGCACAGGTGTTCTACTGGTGCTCTTTACTTTTCTTATTCTGTATTAATAGTTTGTATAAATGACATTTTTAAGGGGCTCCAAGCTTCACAAGTCCTTGTCTCCACATGCTGATGTTCAGCCATTACCATGGCAACACTCTCTTGAAACATGTTCCAAACTTTTGAGCTCAGATCTTGTTTATGTTGTCCACCTGAAACATTTAAGCCCAATAATCAGAAAAATATTTGGCGTTCAAACTGTTGTCTTGCTAATGACGCCACCTGCTGTCTACAGGATCCCCATGTCACTGGTGCCACCTGATTCAGGAGCCCGGCTGCTGTTATAAACACACCAGTTTTTATGTCTGTGTGGTGATCAAACTAAAGGAGATACAGACACAACCCGGCTTCTGATTGGGTGGGTTTAGTACAGTCCAGGGTATCCGCGGGTCCTTAAAAAGTCTTAAATTAGCTTTTCCAAATTTAAGGCCCTAAAAATCCTTAAAAATGACAAATAATCCTTAAATACTGTTTCCAAAGGTCTTAAATTACCAAAGACCCAATAAACAAGATTATTTTATTTCTATAAAAGTTTCGTGAATTTCTTGTTAGAGTTCAGCATTTTTTGTGTACGATGTTGGCGTAAGCGGAACCGTACACATTCAGTTGGTTGTGAAAGGGGGCTATTTTAAATGAGCACATTAGCTGGTTAAGCTAGTGGGAGCTTGTGCCATGGGGAAGTGAGAGCTTAATGGTAACTGGATGGCTAATCCCACGTTCGCAACGTGGTTAGCACCGGTTCCAGGCAATAGCTGGAAATTATGGCTTAAATTTAATTTTTAAAATAGCTTAAATTTGGTCAAAGTGGCCTTAAAAAGGTCTTAAAAAGTCTTAAATTTGGCTCCCTTAAACCTGCAGAGACCCTGACAGTCAGTTATTATTATTGTGATCAGATCTAAGGTTTGTTTTTAGCTGCATGTGGATGTCAGGACCAGGTTATAGTTTCACATGGGTATTAAAGGTCATGAAAGGTTAACTTCACAGAAACCGTGTTTTTCTAGAGATTGTTTTTATTTGAGGTTCACAAGTGAGCCACACCTAAGGATTGAATGTGGTAATTTCTTTTTCTTTTGGATTAACATCAGGATTTCTCTTTAGTAATCCTTCATGGTGATCGGATATGTATCGTCTGACCGCGTGCCAGAGACGTATCACCGTAGTTTGTTCTAGGGCTGCAACAACGAATCGATAAATTCGATGAAAATCGATTACTAAAAGCGTTGGCAACGAATTGCGTCATCGATTCGTTGGGTCGCACAACTCTTCCAAAAGCACCCCCCCTTCCCGCCCACCGTTGCGCGCAGACAGATCAGCGCGAGGGAGAGCCGGCAGATCAGCGCGAGGGAGAGCCGACAGTTGTTTGGAAGAGGAACATGGCAGAAGCAGCGAGAGTCAAAAAAGTAAAAGCTTTTTAAGTTTGGGAGCATTTTCAGTTAAATCAGGCGAAGACATGCGTTACCTGCAACGTTTAGGTCAGACTTAGCATGGCACGGGATGATGCAGCGTCTTAAACGCAAGCATGTCGGGATCATCAGCGAGGAAGGAGAGAACTCTGTGTCCGGGTAAATTAAAAACTTTTCAAAAGTGATTCATCCAAGTCCCGGATTATTAGACAGGCTAGACATGCCCTAAACTCGTAAAAAAAGAGTCTAAAGTCGTGAGCGCGACGCTTATTAGATGAGCGGGGGGACTCGTGCTGCTGCGAACCGGTTCCGCCCAAGGCCGGATTAACTGGGCAATTGCCCAGGGCCCACGAACTCTAAAGGGCCCAGGGCACGAGCAAAATACTGTATCTATAATTTCCCGCTTTATGAGGACTATGGTGACCGTACGTTCCGTTTTCCCCGGACTTGTCCACTTTTCACTCTCTGTCCGGCGCGTCCGGACTGCGGGTTCTTGTATTAATGAAAATGTCCGGCTTTTCATCCAGGAGCAGGGATCGAATTATGGGGGAGCTGTATATCCTACACATCCAGGGGAACCGGAAAAAAGTTTTCTATATTATATCATTTTTGGACTCTTTTGAGCAGAGAGCGGCACAGCGCATTGTTGCGTAGCGATCCAGGCAGCTGCTTCCAGCGCACGGTCCATTCTCAAAGTGGCGCAACCAAAAAACTATAATTAGCACACGATCGTTCATGTAGTCTGCACATGTTCTCTATTTTCTGTCGTATTTGTGCCTGCAGCGCTCTGCTACTGCGGAGCTCATCACCTGTGCTGCGGTGATGTCACCTCACGCAGCATCGAAAACGCGCTTTGCGGTCAGGAGATCCCTTTGATCTGCTCAGAAGTAACTGCTGAGGTGAAAAAGTAAGAATCCAGGCAGCAGTTTTTCTGGAGAATTAAGAGGAGATGCAGGAAGATGAGACAGACAGGACAGGAAAATAGTTCAATAAAAACAACAAAACAAAACAAAAAGTAAAATGTAGAAAGATTTATCTCCACTACACGTTTTTACCTATAAAACAATAAGTTACACACATGTAATATTTATAAATTTGATACTATTCAGGTCACCTTCAACACTCAGTCACACACCCAGGGCCGTTTCAAGACATTTTGGGGGCCAAGGCAAAATGCCCCCCCCCCCCCCCCCCATAACTGGGCTCCCCAGAAGCCTCTGTGTAATTCATACCCTCTCCAGTAGTGTTAGTTATACAGTGTTTATAGAAGCCCCTCAGGCATTATTGACATGTTCTAATATTATCAGATGAAAAACTAAATTATCAGACATGCTGTCTCATCTGCTTCTTTTCTAAACTTGCAGAAAGTAACAAAACCATTTGAAAGCCACTATTTGTGGATTCTCTGAAAGTTTCCATGGAGTGTGTGACAACTTATTTTTTCAGTCATTTTTGGAAATAGTGATCAATTTTGATTAATTCACAGCCTATGTTTAATTACATTTAAAAATGAGTTGTTTGACATCCCCAGTTATAATAAATGTCTACAGATGAGATCAAACAAAACAGATGAGAATTGCCCTTAAGCTGTTTAATTGGACCAAGCATTTTAGGTCACCGATAGATGTAGCTTAGGGTCTCTGTCTATACACCTTATAAGACAATTTAGGTGATGGCATGTTGTTTTTCTGCTATTGAACTGTTTTCTAATAATGTTGTGTTAAATAAAGTGAAGGAAGGAGAGAAATAACGTTTCCCTAGCAGTTTTTAAAAATTTCCCCATGTGATCCGATTAATCGATTAATCGTGTCGAGACCCCATCCGATTCATCGATTATCCAAATAATCGTTTGTTGCAGCCCTAGTTTGTTCACATTCTTCCACCGTTCCCCCAGAAACCCGTCTCAGCCCCCCCAAATGGGCAAAGCACAGCTGATGGAATGAGGGGTTCATCCCTGATATTTTTTACAGAAATCAGCTCATCAGAGCAGGAAAACATATGAATTGATGACTGAAGTTGTTCTTCAGTTACTCTAACAATCATTTTTTTAAACAGCTTAACACCTCTGCATCGGCACACTTGAATGCTGCAACATTGGTGTTTTTTTATGTGTTCTTGCAGCCACCACCTCAGAAGTTGCTACCGGAACACGCTCAGACTTTAGAGAAATATGCATGGGAGTCGTTTGACCCTCACAGCCAAGGCATGTGCTTTTCAGAGAAATTATTATGTAATTTTTAATTAATCAACATTAGAACGTGCAGGATTTAGGACAGTGCCGTGGCAGAGGTGTAAATATGAACGTTATGTCCTCTTTCAGTGACCTTCCTGCCTGAGAATGTGTTCCTGCTGCTGCAGTCTGTGGTGGTGAGTTTCAGCATCCACACACTCCACCAGCTCACGCTAACTACTGACATTTCCAGCTGACAGAAAATCTTATAGCTTTTGAATAACGGTGACACATCTGTTGGACAGTCCCTTTTTTTGGCAGGAAAATGTCTTTTTCTCTCTAGAAGTATTTTCAGTCGTAACCATTTTATTCGTTGTTTCCATTCATTTTTCAATGCTTTACAATTTTCTCTAAGTTTATTAAAGACCAAGTTCACTGAGAAACCATTTTTTTACTCTTGAGTTTTACATGCAGGCTGAACATGAGAATAGTCTTCTACCCTCATTTCACAGAAAGGCAACTCTCAGTCAAAATATGCATTTGAACCAGGATCAGTGTTCTGTGACCTTTACCCGTGCTTTCCACTGGAGCCGTCAGCAGCGCGAGTCGGCCGCGTCTCAGCAGCAGCATGTCGCGGCCTTTACGCGCCGGTTCTATTTTCTACGCGTGACGCCTCTGAAACGGGTCAAGTTCGACATTTTTGGGGAAGGAAAGACAGGAAATCGGACGCGGAAATGGAGAGAAGCTCCCGAGATTTTCAGAATAAAGAAACGTACTGCCTTCCGGTTGCTTTACCTTTAAAAAAAGTTACTAAATGTGCGGCCCCGTGAGAAGTTATCACCTAGCTAGCGGTCTCCTTTGTTTTTCAGGTCCGTATTGGCGATTATGAAACGGACAGAACATAAAACACAAACCATGTTGTAATTTTCTCCTGCTTGTTGTTGTGTTTACTGAGGAAGTCACTCGTGTGACTTCGTGCTCGGTCGATGACAGCTGCTCCCCTGCTGCTTCGCGTCTCGTGGGAAGGGCCAAGCAGCAGCTTACGCGAGCAAGACGTGCTGCTGCAGTAACGTGCTGCTGACGGCTCCTGTGGAAAGCAGGGGTCAGTGTCGGTACTTGGTTGATGGAGACCAAATTAGCAAAAAACTGACATGAAAAAGACACGTGAGAAAGCCACCGCTCCTTTTGACCCTCCAAGGCCCAGGTAAACCTGAGAACAGAAACATTTGCAGTTTGAACGAGTCACGGAAATTTTAACTTTACATGAGTAAATCAGCATCTTGATATCAGTTAAGATTTTTACATAATCACATCTTAAGTTGTCTAAGTTATGGTAAACCTGTCAAGTTATGAAAAATAAGGAAAATTTTCCAGCAGCGGATGTTTGGCATCCCTCGGGTCTCTGTGAGATTTTAAAGGTGCAACTTGTAAGAATGCTTCTGTGAAATGAGAAGTTGGAAGGAAGGTTACTTTGAAACGGATTTCATTCCCAGCCAGCTGAGGGGTTGTCAGTTTGCCTCTTATTAAAAAAAAGACAAAAGCTGAAACTAGTTACTGTTTACACACTGAGTCTGTGTGGTTACTGCATCTGCAGTGAGTTAGCGCTGCAGCACAGGCTTTAGTAATTCAACACTAGCAGGCGAAAAGCTCCAGAGTTGTTTAAAGAACCGAAGCCAGTAAACGGGAGCGACCCAGAAGTTATTTCTTGTTCCTGTAAGAAACCACGGCATCTTTTTTTTTACTCTAATATCTGGTGAAGCAGGCTTACACCTGCTAACCTGTACGCATTTTACGTAGCCAGTACGCAATTTGGCATCTATTTACGCTGGTACGACTCACCCCTCTAAACCACGCAAAAAGCTGCGGATACGTGAGTTGAGTTCTGTGGCAAATATGCACGTGTGGTGCTCATGTTTGACAACACGACTCAGTAGCGTGGTGAAGAAGTTTAAGCCAATCATGGTAGAAAAGCAGAGAAAAACTATCCTGCCTAACCAATAGCATAACACCCCCGCCCCCTCCTCCCTGCTTCATCCTGCCCGCTGCTCCTCTCTCCCTCCGGTCGCCACTTGCTGCTGTTCTGGTAAGATAATCTGTGTGTGTGTATGTGTGTGTGTGTGTGTGTGTGTGTGTGTGTGTGTGTGTGTGTGTGTGTGTGTGTGTGTGTGTGTGTGTGTGTGTGTGTGTGTGTGTGTGTGTGTGTGTGTGTGTGTGTGTGTGTGTGTTGCCTTTATCCATTGCAGATAGATTTGGCCTGTATATGAGGAGGAACGTGATTATTTATACAGTTTAGCCATGCAGCCATTATTTTTTTCACAGCTAGTTTTGCAACTCTTGCTATGGCAGACGAGAGAGAAGCAGACAGGGAGGGAGTGGTTGGCAGACCTGCCAAAAAGAAGAAGGTCCATGTGTCTCAGAAGTTTTTGTCCTAATATCATGAACAGTGGCCATGCTTGCGACCCTCTAAACCAGGGGTTCCCATATTGGGGGTCGGGACCCCCAAGGGGGTCCCCACAAAATTACAGGGGGTCCCCACAATTTTGTCTTTGCTGAGATTGTGAGGTTCGCAAGAATTTCTTTGTAAAAATTACATTTATAAACTCCCAATAACACACCCTACAGTATAATCACAACTCCATATATAATTTATAACTGTGTGTCTGTGTAAAGATGGTAAATGATCACATTAATGTGTGTACGCATGTAGGAGTTGGGGCTAGGGGTCCTGGCTTGGACATGAGCAAGGGGGTCCTCAAAAAAGAAATTGGGAACCCCTGCTCTAAACAACCTCACCATGCATTTTGCACAATCTGCAATTATGATGTGGACATAAGCCACCAGGGAGCTGCAGGTAATTAGTGAATTAGCCCTGGTGATGTGTGCATATTAGCTTTAAGCCAATTTAATATTACATTCTTGAGAACAGAAACACCTATTGCAATTTCTAAAATAAATAATTACCATTAATATAATTCTTTTTTTTATTTATTAATTTGTATTGAAATAATTTAATGCAAGTAACTTGTAATAATAATTTAATGCAAGTAACTTGTATAAGCACCAATATTATATAAGGAAACTTTAGAGTTTTACTGTTTAATATTAAAATACATGATACTTTGGAGACAGGTCAAACTGTAAAAACGTCTATAACCTTACTAGTCAAAATAAGAAGAACTATGAACAAGTGTGTGTGTGTGTGTGTGTAAAATTTTCCATCCAGTATATGGGGAGATTACAGCGTAAAAAGCAATGAAGTTGCAAAAGTCCGCGAAAAAAACGCTGCACAAGTGGTACTCAAAAATTTTTGACAAGGTTGGCAGATCTGCAGGCTAGAGGCTAACGTTGAGCTAACAATGCTAATGTTGAATTAGAAGAAAATGGTCTGCTCTAAAAATATCTCAAGCTACTTTTTCAGTAACCAACAAGTCAATATCACAGTATTACAGGTGTTTTACTTCCTTTAATGAGCTAACAAGCTAACAGCACGAGGGAAAACAATCACATTTCCTGTAATACCAGGTAAATATTACCGTAATAGGTGTAGTAAGTGCTCCCTACCGTAAATAATCAGAGTGCCAACACCAGATATATAACAATGTAATAATCTACTTACTGTTTGTCAACTACAATCTTCTGGTGCGGATCTGTAACTGGCAAAAGCCATGACGGTGATTTCATTTCACATAGGAAAAATATCTGCAGTTACCTAATGTGACCACCAGACGACACTGTTACAAATTGCACCTTTAATTAGATTTGATGGGTCTTTTTTTTAAACTTGCCATGTGACCTACACACCTATTTGATGTTCATTAAGTTTGCTATCTAGGAATGAGAGATGTTGGAGTGGTTACCACGGTGACCTTAATGAGCCACTGGCAGCAGCTTTAACATTTCTGTTGATCTCAGTTCCCTTTGAATGTCTAAAAGTTCAGACATCTAAACGTAGACGCTGTCCCAGCTTAGAAACTAAGTGGATGTTGGAACTTCAGGCAGCAGCTGAATCAGCATCGTTCAACGTTTGCTTAGAAATGTCTCTTCATGAAAAGAACTCTGTTTTGAATGAATGCAAATAAACAGAGAAGACTGAGATGAGCTCATGTGACGCTGTAGCTGTTTTTATTGGTGCCGTCTGTAACAGCTGATGTGTTTTGCAGATGGCGTGTCAGGAGAAAGACACGGAGTCCCTGAAGTCCCTTCAGACTGAGCTGTGGTGAGTATCCACTAATATGCATCTCCATCATGAGCTGCATGCGTAATGTATTATTTTAAAGGTTTTCCTGTTAACTTGTAATATTCCATAGATGTTATAGATCATTTTCCCCTCTGCAGGCCATTTCTGACTGCGGAGCAGAACCATCTTCTCCACCTGGTGGTTCTGGAGCGAATCGCACCTTCCGGTCAAGGCATTTAGCGCCGTCCAACTCAACTCACTTCCTCTGGGAACAATACTTTATGTAATGGAATATTCCTGTTTCTGACTGGGCCTGTTGTAAGGCCTGAAGAGAGGCTGTTTTCTACATTTAGATGTTGTGATTTGCGGTCAGAGGAATGCACGCGACACAAAACTCTCTTTTGACTCATGCAAATTTAGAAAACACCAAACGTTGGCTATGCTTTAACGAAGTTATTTTTATGCTGTGTGCATATTTCAGTAAAAGAAACGTGACATCTCTTATTTATTATGGTGAAAGAATTTACTGTATTTCCTGTTTGAATAAAAAAAAACACACACATTTCATGTTTTATTTAACTTTATTAATAAATGTCATGGCTTAAATTCCACAGTAATAACAAACACACTTACTAATGCATAGTTCTGTTATATGATGTAAGAAAACTACTGTCCTCCCTGGATTGTCTAATATTCACTTGTACAAATGTACGCATGTTACGTTAGCAGCCAACTACAGACACACAGTATAAAACACAAATGACTAAAACATATGATTACGTTGTACATAGAGGGTACATAATATGCTAAAGTTGTAAACTCATTCTAAATGAATAAATGTCTTATGAAGAAAGGCTCATTTCCTAATTCCTGTGGTCTGTTTCAGTCACTGTAGTTATGGCAACGCTGAACCAGAGAGGTCGCAGTAGCCATCAACTTCACTACATAAGAGACTTTTCAGAAAAAGTACAAAATAACTAAGTCAGAGAAGAGGAATAGCTTCAAACATATTTGTAGTTGATTCTCCTCGCAGCTGAGTGTTGGATGAGTAGGTCGGCCCTGTCTGCTCAGCATCCATCAGCAGAATAGTCTGGAAACAGGTGATGCTGTACTGCTCTAAACCGCTAAACACAACTTGGTTTGATGGATTTTTTCTTTCAATGATTACAAAAAATAAAAGATGACTGGAGAATTTTAAAAATCAAGTTATAAAACTGACATGAGAGCAGTCTCAGTCCTTTCATCCTTCAACCAATAACGTTTTAAACCGTTTATTTACTTCTGGACTCTGTCTCCCAAAGCTACATGTTAGTAATGTTACTAGAGATAAAGGATGAATTACTTTAGGTTAGAAGGCTGAAAGGAGGGGGGGGGGGGGGGGGGGGGTCTCCACCTTCCTTACCACAACCAGTCCTACTCAAACTTAGTTTGTCAAAATTTAAACAGAATTATTGGCTCGTGTTAGCATTTAAACCTTTATTTTTTCAAGTTCTCCGCCGCAGATGAATTTGAAGAGTGAAGACAAACCCAACTCTTCTTAATTACAGAGAACCTTGACACTGCTCTCATTCATTTTCACTCGCTCTTCCGCAGGATGAGGTAGGTGACTGTTAGCAGGAGAGTGAGGACAAACGATATCCACGCCAGGATGTAGGAGTGGCCGTAGCCTCCTTTTGTATCATCATTGGTGTGAAACTTAGCCGTGTAGACTGATGCTGCTGTCATTATGCACAGGCCTGCAGGACACAGGGGAGACAATATTACACACTGTCCAACCGCCGGTACAAAGACATTACAGGTTACTTTTCCAGTTTGTGTGAAGTGATGACTAGATGTTCCAACAAACACTTCTAATTAGTTTTATGCAGGAGCAGTTGTGCTATCAATCCACATGGTTAACACTGAAGAGAGCTCTAATGTGATAAACGGTCACGAATGATGCGAAGACAAAACCAAATCGTGCAGCGAAGCAACAAACCAATACGTTTTACGTCCATCGGATCCAAACCATTACAAGAGTTTCGGTTAGTTTGTGGAACTGATGACTGACCCAGTTTTCTGCTTTTTCAGATTCAGCATCGCACATCACCAAATTTAGATGTACCATGCTATGAAATATTCAAAAATAAACAACCATTTGTGTTTTAATGAACTTTAGCAAACGCATAGTTGCAATCTTATTACGTTCATGAATAACAATAATTGCGTAAAAAAGCTGCATCATTTCCCAGCTTATGTTTTCTTTGAGTCTCTGAAAGACGTGGGGTGATGTGTTTTCCTTATTTACAAACATGAATTAGAAATCTGGTAACAATACAGTTGCGGCCTCTAAGGGGTGTTCAGTTTTGAATCATGTCTGATTAAATCCAGATCTGATCTACATTTCTCAAAAAGTAAAAGTTTAATGGCCTGAAGTACAAACTGCATATTGTGGTCAAATGTGGGTACTGCGGTCCCTTTATCAAAACAAGACTATTCTGAGTGGACCCCTCCAATTACAATCAGTGCCAGAAGATTCTAGATAACAAGTGAAGAAAGACAAGTTTTCCACTCAACCAGGAAATGAATATTAAATAAGCTTTGTGCTGATGGGATGCTTCTTGAAGCACAAATCTCTGTACAAAAGGGTGTGTGTGTGTGTCCCGTAGTACCGGGGGGGGGGTGGGGGGTGGGGGTGGATACGCTAGGGACTAGCTGGATTTCCTACCCCCTTGACGGACCATCAGTATGGATAGGCTGGCATTAGCATCGGAGAGGCTAGCCATTAGCGTGCCTAGGCATGCCACTAGCTGGATTTCCTACCCCCTTGACGGACCATTAGCATGGATAGGCTGGCATTAGCATCGGAGAGGCTAGCCATTAGCATGTCTCGGAGAGTCACTAGTCAGCTAGTGGCCAGCCTAGGCACACTAATGGCTAGCCTCTCCAATGCTAATGCCAGCCTGTCCATGCTAATGGTCTGTCAAGAGGGTAGGAAATCCAGCTAGTGGCCAGCCTAGGCACACTAATGGCTAGCCTCTCCAATGCTAACACCAGCCCGTCCAGGCTAACGCTAACCTATCCATGCTAATAGACAGCAGAGGGAGTGTGTGAACGTCAATGACCAGCCGAGGGCTGCTAGTCCCTAGCGTATCTAGTAGTAACGCCGGTAAAGGTGCTATTTCTCAGTAAGCAGCGCAAGCCTCTCAGTTACCGGTGCCAGCTTATTATTAATAAGGTTGGTAGTTTGCTATATAGCCTCCTGCTGCTGGGCAGTAGTCTTAATTTCGGCCCCCATACCGCACCATAGATCCATGGATCTATCTGGCATTTACTCAAATTATGGATATTCCCAGTACATCCTGGGAAGCTACATGTGTGTTCCCACATTCTTCTTTGTGGTTTTCCTCTGATCCAACAAGGATGTTAGCAGTAGCTTGGGCTAGCGTTCGCAGTGAATTAAGTTCCCAGAAGGAACCGTGACTATTTTCAACAGCATATCTTTGTGGGATGTGACAATAGCCACCCTAAGCTGCCTTTATTCAACAACAATGTGGATTTGAATTCTAGGACACCTTTAATCTCAGGTGTTAACTCTGAACTGCAGGGTTATCTCAACCTGTTATCCATCTTCTCTCTCCAGATCAAAAAATCAAGTCATTTTTAATCTAATATGCCAATTATTTGCTAGTTGCAGCCTTCATAATCTGATTAAACTGAAAAACAAAACATCTGCAGCTGTGAGTTTCCACTCCTAACTGTAGCAGGGTGCCTCAGAGCCTGAGAGAACGTTGTGTGCCAAACAACAGCCTTGTGGAGCTAGTCTCCGTTCACTAGCAGTCACCTAAAATAAAAGCACATGTCAAATCCTGACTCTTTACACTGAATATGCATAAAGCTCTCCTCCAAGGGGCGGAAAACCTGCTGTAGTCATAGTAAAATGAACACCAAGCTCACAATAGCAATGATTATTGGATTACTACAATAAAACACACAATCGGAGACCATTTCACAGCATGATGGAACAAACTAGTGTTTGTTAACACCAGATGAAATTCTTTAGCTGCACAGAAATATGAGTCTTAGACCGCCCCGCCCTTCTGTGACTCCACAGGCTTTCTAATGGCGGTGTGAGACTCTGGGTGGTGGCTGAGCTTCTTTCTCCCTTTATTTCCTCTGCTGCCACTGAGGAACACCATTGTTCTGTTTGCACTCAGTTGTACCAGACATTTACCTAGAAGTAAAACCAATTCAAATATTCACATAAAATCTTTTTTTTTCTTGTACAAAATAAAATAACTGCAGCAAATGAAAACCATTGTAACGCCTGAACTATTACAATGTTTAAACAAACAGAAAACTGTGGAACCCTTTTGCATTTTGGATTCCTTCAGCAATAATGTGCCAAAGTTTAAATAATGGTAAATGGCCTTCTAGAGTCCTGGAACCCCCCAAGGCGCTTTACAACACAATCAGTCATTCACCCATTCACACACACATTCACACACTGGTGGGGATGAGCTACGATGTAGCTACAGCTGCCCTGGGGCGCACTGACAGAGGCGAGGCTGCCGAGCACTGGCGCCACCGGTCCCTCCGACCACCACCAGCAGGCAGCGTGGGTTAAGTGTCTTGCCCAAGGACACAGCGACAGACTGAGCGGGGCTCGAACCTGCAAATAAGTGGTGTAATGAAGTCCAAAGGATGTGTGTAGACCTCAATAAGCTGTTTCTCCTGACAGTTTGACAGCAGACATGCTCTCAATGAAGAGTTGTCAGGTGAAACTATGAAAAGAACGAGGAAACTCCTTCAAGTCTGTAATTTTACACAGAGGTGCTGCCTGTCAGCTGGGTCTGTAATTTGTAACGAGAAAGTCAGAAGGTTTAAAAGAGAGAAACATGCAGGAGGAAATTAAGAGATGGCAAGGTTTCTGGGCAGGAGTGTAACAGTAAACGCGCCTTCGAAGCAGGAAAAACTCTGGAGCAGAAACGTTTGTGACTCTGTGTTACCTCCTGACACCTCACAGTCTCTACGTTATATTTTATTCTGTTCAATTTAGACTTGGAAAAAAATGCAACAACAAAAGAAATCCATAGAATGAGCGGAGTCAGGGAGAACGATCACAAATCTGGTCTGAGGTAAGAAGACACCAACAGCTGAATGAACTCATCCACAAGTCCTGGGTCGATGCTGGGGTGGGCCGAGCGACTGCTAGAACTCTTGTCTCGCATGTTAAACACTCAGAAGACATATTTATTCACGCATCTTCAGATTAAATAAACTCCTGATTTTTAGTCTGCCTTGTGTGACAGCCGTTGGGCAGGAGAAGTACCAAAAACATTCCGATTGTACGTTACTGACCTCAGTCAGTCGAGCGTTTAGCACACACAATCCATAAAAACGGTTTCAGCAACAAGAGTATAAATCAAATGCCTCCTGCAGGCTCCACAGCACACATGACCCCAGGTTACTTACAGGCGATTAGCTGTAAAATGCCAGTGAAGATGAACCTCTGGCCTTTGGGGCAGCGTGAACAGCTGAGCCAGAAAACACAAACAAGGCCAGGATGGTTGAAAAACACAGGCCAGGACTGCTGTGCCCTGCACCGACTGGAGGTAGTCTGCAACACAATAAACAACAACAAACGAGAGATGGTTTAACAGCAAAACCAACAAAACCTGTCAGCCATGTTCAGTTGGGTCACAGCTGCTTACTGATTCATTAGAATTATGAAGCTGTCCTAAACGTCCTTTCATTTATTGTTTATTGAAACCTGCCTTGCCCTGAGATGGACTGGAAGCCTGTCCAGGGTGTACCCCAGGGGCGTGTCCAGGGAGTGGCCTGGGGTAGCACATGCCACCCTTGGAATCTGATTGGCCACCCCCAGGTGTCACCACACTAATTTACCATCAAATAGGCTTTTCATTGTCCACAAAAGGCTTGGGGTAACACAAAAACGTGGTGCCACCCATGCACAAAGTTGTGCCTCACCTGGGCCACCCCAGTTTAAAGAGCTGGACACGCCACTGGTGTACCCCTACTGCTGGAGGTGGGCACCGGCCCCCCCGCGACCCTGCCATGGACAAGCGGGTATAGAAAATGGATGGATGGATGAAACCTGCCAGGAGTTTACCTTGTGGGTAATTTTGGAGATTGTAGTAATGCCAGTCTGAGCTAGTGAGCTCCCATCTTCCCCACAGGTCAGTCGACGCAGTCCCAGTTACCCCACCAGGCCTGGGAAGAAGGAGAAACGCTGACTGGCATTCACCTCTAACGAATATATCTGTCTATGTCTGGTGAACAATTTCAGATGAAAGCAGCATTATGATCCTTAAATGTTCACAAGACCTATTGCTTCTAGCACGCACAACACACACACACACACACACAGCACACACACACACACACACACACTTACACTTACTTACAATACTTATATTCCAACAGGTCATAATATGTGGTGAGGATGATGTGCTGAAGCTCAAAATGAGCAATTAGAATGAAGAGAAGGGAGCTTAAAGAGACTTTAGAAGTGACACGGGTTGTTGGTATTGGACAGGCTGGTCCTGAGGGTTTTAGAAACTGGTGATCCACTGGATATTTTAAACCCACAACCATCTCTGGAGTTTACAGAGAATGGTCTGAAGAGGAGAAACGACCCAGTGAGCAGCAGTTGTGTGAATGACAGGTCTTGTTGAGGTCAGAGGAGACTGATAAGTGTCTCTCCTGTTGGTAAGAACAGGAAACTGGCTACAATTCACACAGGATCACCAGGACTGGACCAGAAGAGACTGGAAAACCTTTCAGCTGCAGCATTCAGATGGTCTGGTCAGAATCTGGTGTCACCAGAATGAAAGCATAGATCACATCCTGCCTTAGGTTCAACCCTTCAGTTGCTGGTGGTGGTGGGTCCCCTCAGTACCACCTGAACCTGGTTCAACCACCACAGCCTACCTGAGTATAGCTGTTGTGATCATTTCCATCCCCACATGGACCCCTCTTCTGATGCAGCTTCCTGCAGGATCATGCACCGCGTCACAAAGCTCAGATCATCTCTAACTGGTTTCTAGAACATGACCATGGGTTCACTGGACTCCAGCGACCTCCACAGTCACCAGATCTCAGTCCAGTCCAGTACCTTCAGAATGAGGTGGAACAGCTGATTCGCACCATGGATGGAACTGATGATGTCATGTTAATAAGAACCAGAACCTCTGTTTC